CATATCACTTCTGTACTAAAAGTTTCTCCAACGCTTTCCACTGCTGGGGGTAGGAGGTGGATAAAGAACTGCTTAATATGGCTCACATGAAGGCCCTGGATAGTCAAGTCCCTACCTACCTTCTCCAGCCTCATCTCACTTCATACTGTCCCTTCCCACTACATTCTCTACTCCAACCACAAGGGCTTTCTTACAGTACCTCGTACTTATCATACCTCCTTCCTCCAAATATATAAACAAATGCTACTTTCCCTACCTTAACAGCTATTCTCTCATGTCTTAGTTTAATTCCTACTCATTCTTGAGATCTCAACTCAAGCATCAGTTCTTCAAAGGAGCTTCCTTTGAGTTCCCTAGGTCAACTCCCCTAGCACAAAGTATATAGTAGATTATTAATAAATATTTGCTGAATAAACTCAAAGAAAAATCAGATGCAAATAAAAATTCAGTAACAAGGAGAATGCACCCAAAAAGTAAATATGCATATAAAAAACAAGACTTTCTGAAGGAGAAACAGAGAAGCTATCATCAAAGAAATGAGAAGAAAGTGTTCCTCAGTTGAAGCCTTTTCAAAATTAACAAGCTCACTGAATTAACTGTTCAAAACCCACTCCTAGTTGCTCACAACTATACAAATGCAAGGAAAAGAAAAATACTATAATGCAAGGTTCTAGACAAAAACATGAGCAATCATAAAAGGAAAGAATATCAAATTGGTATTAGCCATCTTAACAGCAAAACTGAATCCAAAAGGTATTAGAGAATAAACCAAGTTCTAAGAGTAAAGGTTCATGAAACTAGAATAACATATCACCAAACTGATAATGGGTATGGATATAAAGAGCGTATGAATGTATACTTTGTGTCCTCTGTGTCTTTTTTTGTTTTTGTTTTTGAGACAGAGTCTCACTCTGTCGCCCAGGCTGGGGTGTTGCGGCACGATCTTGGCTCCTGGATTCAAGTGATTCTGTGCCTCAGCCTCCCAAGTACCTGGGATTACAGGCATGCGCCATCACGCCCAGTTAATTTTTTGTATTTTTAGTAGAGATAGGGTTTCATCATGTTGGCCACGTTGGTCTCAAACTCCTGACCTCAAGTGATCCCCTTGCCTTGGCCTCTCAAAGTGCTGAAATTACAGGCATGAGCTACCACCGCCAGCCTCCTGTATGTCTTAAAATGTCTTCCACCCTCATCCCCCCAACACTCCCACTAGTGTACACACATTCCTGGATATAAAGTATACACTCATAACATCCTTATAAAAAATCTGTGAGAAAAAATTCCAGCCAAGCAAATATCTACTCATTATATTTCAAAACCAATTTCATCTCTATATGACTTTTCATTAGTTTAACTCTAATAACATGATAAAAAAGAAGAAACTTGAATTCATAAAAATAACACATCTAGAAAAACAAAATCATGAACATAAAGTAAAAAGAACTTAGACTTGCCCAATTATCCAATAATTGGGAGACACTTCATGTCACGTGACACATCAACATCAAAACACATATGAAACATAAAAAAAATGGAAATACCTGTCATCACAAGATTAAAGTTAAAAGTTATAGGTCTATCCAATATGTGATGCTGGACAAGTCCTCTGGCTTAATGTTTAACTTTCCTCATCAATAAATAAGCAACCTTGATTATCTGTCAATTACCTTGTTCTGAGAAATGTATAAAACGTTAAATGAGAAGACTAAAGTTCTGGGGACACCTAAGTAAACATCATTAGTAAAGTAATACTTTAAAATCATGTGGATGGAATTCCCATTAAAAAAACTCTTATTCTCAATATCAAGATTATAAGAGACACACAAAATTATTTCACTACAGCAAGACCAGCTTGTAAGAAATGCAAAGAAAAAAGCAGCTACAAACTAGGACTACAAGCTGATAACCTGAATTTGACCTTCACATATTTCCTCTCCCCAGAACAACATGCATTCTCCAGAGTCCCTAGCAATCTTTATTGACCACATCCAATTCAATTCATGTACTTTTCCACCATGGCATCAGAGTTTGCATCATTCGGTAAAGAGGACAATATCTGTGATTCTAACAAACAGCAGAATCTATGAGGCTTTACTCTAATCCAATTTTTGACTAATATGTCTGCCTCACTCTAAAGTAGCAAAACAAAATGATACCTAGTAGGCTGAATAATGACTCCCAAAGATACCAGTCCTAATCCTATAAATGTTACCTTATTTGGAAAAAAAGGTCTTTGCAGATGTGATTAAGAATCTTGAGATGGAGAGAGAATCCTGGATTATCCAGAGACCTCTAAATGAACTCACATGTCCTTAGAAGAGAGTGTCAGGGGAAGATCTGAAACACACAGAGAAGGTGATGTGAAGACAGAGCAGACAGAGATTTGAAGACGCTGGTCTTAAAGATTGGAGGGATGTGGCTACCAAGCAAGTGATGAGGCTGACAGCCACTGGAAAGTGAAAAAAAGCAAGAAACAGATTCTTCCTTAAAGCCTCAAGAGTGAGCACATTCTTGGTGACACCTTGATTTTGGCCCCGTGAAAATGATTTTGAACTTGTGGCCTCCAGAACTGTAAGAGAATAAATCTGTATTGTTTTAAGCCACCCAGTTGGTGATAATTTGTTATAGCAGCCATGGAAATTAGCACAATGCCCAACAGTCAAGTTCCTCTGTTGAGAAAGAAAACCCGCCAAACTTGTAAAGATGAAAATGTGCAGTAATTTCAACAAGCATCACGAGAAAAATCAAGAGAGACAAAAGTTTCTTACCTGTAACAGGTTAATAGAACCAAATCCCTATAATTTCTCTAAAAAATACTGAAATATGATAACTAAAATAATTTAATATAATTCAGCCTGTTAAATTCCAAGGAGGAAAGAGGTAATGGTATCCAAGTATACTGACAGAAAGGCAAGGAGTATCTAGTTACACTATTTTTGGGCAAACAACAGAGGAAACTGCCACCCTTTAAGTAAAAAAACAGAAACAAAATTTATGGAACTCACACAAAAATTCTGAAATAAAAAAGTACTCAAGAACATGATGTCACAGTCTAGAAGATTTGCCTTAGAAAACTAGGTGACAACTTACATATAAGAAAATTTTTAAAAACCTAATTTGTGAAATAGAAATAAAAAGAATCTAGAATATAAAAAGTATCAACAGAGGCTTAAAAAAAGATATTTGAGAGAAAAAATATCATTGCAATATTTTAAATGTCATGAAAAGTAATGAGGAATGAAGACTCTAGAGCAAACAATCTGCAAGGGGCAAAAATGAACAGGACAAAAACCATCCAGTATGCAAGTAAGCATAAAGAAACAAAAGCAAGTAGACTGGAGAAAAGATACACACAATGCAGATCCAACAGCTTAATTAGCACACTGTAAATAAGAAAACCAAATAATGGAGGAAAAATTAAATTTCAAAGAGAAGAAATAAATCATAAACTAAGGACTGAACTTGTTGATTGAATGGCATTTATCGAATACTAGATACATTTAGTAGAAACTGACCAATACCAAAGCATAATCTGAAGATTATGAATTTTAAGAATACAATTCAGACAAAATAAACATGCCATCGGCTGGGCGCAATGGCTCACGTCTGTAATCCCAGCACTTTGGGAGGCCGAGGCAGGGGGTCACCTGAGGTCAGGAGTTCGAGATCAGCCTGGCCAACGTGACAAAACCCCATCTCTACTAAAAATATAAAAATTAGCCGGGCGTGATAATGAATGCCTGTAATCCCAGCTACTCGGGAGGTAGAGGTAGGAGAATCGCTTGAACCCAGGAGGTGGAGGTTGCAGTGAGCCTAGTCACACCATTGCACTCCAGTCTGGCTGACAGAGCAAGACTCCATCTCAAATTAAAAAAATAAAATAAACATGCCAAAAAAAAGAAAAAAAAAAGAAAAAAAAGAAATCAGGCTGGCCCCAGACTTCTTTGCAACATCAGATGATAGGCAACGAAGTAATGCCTATAAACGTTGAGGATAAAGAGGTTTTATTCCAAGAATACTATGACTAGCAAGGTTGTCATTTATATGTAAAGGCCATAGGAAGACATTATCAAATATGCCAGCCCTAAAGTAATGTTATCCAAATTTCATATCTGAAAAAAAAGAAAAACTATTTAAAGATAGACTCATGCAATCAAGAGACTAATCAAAACCAAGAAACTAAAAAATAAAGATGTCAGTATAAAACTACTTTGCTGTGGTCAAAATACACTAGGCAAAAAAGATACTAAGAATTGCAATTTCAATTTCAGACGAAGTAAATCACAAGGAATAAAGCAATAAACAGAATAAGAGCCATGTTTTAAATTGGTAAAAGATGTGGTCCAAAATTTCAAGACTATATATTCTGTTCAAACACACTTAAAACATTAATTGAAAAATCAAACATTGGATTATATGTTGGAAAGAAAAGCTTACAGATTTCTAACACACTCCCCCATCCTACCCCACAAACCAAAAAAAAAAAGAAAATGAAAATGAAATGACACATCTGACTTAATACATTAACAGTAGATATTGATAATGTGTACAGAAAGAAGAAAACCTCAAACATCTGGAAATTGCTTTAAAAGTAAGCTTTGCATTGAGTTTATACATTTCTCCAGTTTGCATTGAGTTTATATATTTCTACAATTATAGAATATTTAGAAACAATAATGAGAAAAATCCCCTATCAAATTCTGAGATGTGACCAAACCTTATTAAAAAAACTCACATTTAAGTCAGCAAGTGTGCTGAAAAATAGGAAAAAAAATTCACACTTAGTTTAAAAAAATCAGTATACTAAAGAATATCAGTATACAAAATATTCAACCTAAAAAGAAAAATGAACCACATACACATACAAAATAAAATAAAAGCTGAAGGATTATGTAAAATTACAGAACATGTTATATGTGAAAAAAATAAAATAGGTAAGCAACTAAATAGTCTAACTAAAAAAATTATTTAAAATTAGAAGCCAAACAGGCTATACTCACCTCACAAACAGAATTTTATTGTTGTAAAATAAATCACTCTGTACAATTCTCTGTTGATAAATTCGAAAATATGGAGGAAAGTAACAGTTCTTGGAAAATAATTTTTTGTTTTCAATTAGTGCTAGAGTGAAGACCAGAAACTTGGAACAATATGAGAAAGTTATTTAAGAACTATTCCTCAAAAAACTCCAGAGTTCCTGAAAAACAAAATGCAGAAAGACTAAAGAACCAGTCCAGGTTAATAGAGACCAAGGAGATCAAAACAAACTGTAATATGTGATTATGGACCAGCTTGGATGAAGGCAGAGGGTGAAGGAGTGTGGTGGGGAAGATTGCTATAAAGCACATTACTGGGACAACTGATAAAATCTGACTATGGGTCGTATATTAGATAATAGTATTGTATGAATGTTAAATTTCCTAAATTTGATAACTGAACTACGGTTATGTAAGAGAAAGTTATAGTTCTTGTTCTTAGGGGGCACACATTTAAATATTTAAGAGTAAAGGTTCATGATGTCTGTACTGAGTCTTAAATGGTTCAGCAAAACTAAAAAATAACAAACTGTGTGTGTGCATGCCAAGAGAATATGAATACATATTTGCACATACACAGGGGAAAAAGTTAGTAAAACAAATGTGGAAAAATGTTAATAACTGGCCATTTAAATAAATATGGAAGTTCATTATATTATTTTTGCAAATTTTAAATTTGGATTGTTCTCAAAATAAGCTATTAAAAATAAAAGTGCATCAGGCAAGATTATTTCAAAACAGGACCTTTCAAGCCTTAAGGAAGCATGTAACTCTCAAATTAAATTATCTAGAGATTACAGGAAAAAAATTCCAATTCTTTTTACAAACCTATCATAATCCTTCTATAAAATTTGACAATGACAGCACTAAAAAAAAAAACCACAGTCCAAACATACTCATTAATACAGACGCAAAAACACAAGTAAAATATATATTACAAATCACCAAATAGGGTTCATTTTAGGAACATAACAATGAGCCAACATTAGGCAGCTGACTAATATAAGTCATCTTTGTAAAAGTTTAAAAAAATTCATATGATCATCTCATCATATTCTAAAAGAGATTTGATAAAATGTATTCCTTAATACTTACTTCAAGCCAAAGAGGAAAAACCTCAGTACTAGAACAATTCCCAGGAAAGAAAAAAGAACAAGGAAACCAACTCTTATCCCTGTAACTTAGCAATGTCTAGAAATAATGGTTATTGAGATAAGCCAAGGCTAACAAAAAGGCATAAAATTATAAGATCAAATTATTATTTGCAGTTAATGACTACATGATGGCAAACTCAAAACCTGAAATGATAGGGAAAAAATACTCAATAAGATTATCTGACTATAGAAAATTATATATGAAAATGATTAACAGTAATCACTTAAAAAGTTAAGAGAAAACAAATAAAAGTATATTTAAATAAATAACAAGAAATAGAACCTTTTTAAGAGGGCTTAGAATAAAACACACTTTTTTTTCTTGGATAGGAAGATTCAAAATTGTGAAGATGGTTATCCTCCCTTTATTAATCTATAAATTCAATATAATCACAACTGGACCTTTTTGTTCCCAGACCTTGATTAAATAATTTCAAAATACATATGAATAAATGTGAATAGCCAAAACAATCCTAAAATCATGAGCATCTGCAATACCTGATACTTAAACTGTAATTTCAAAATTACAGTATTTAAGAGGCAATACTAATGCAGGAATAAACTGATGAGTGAAACAGAACTGAGAATCCAGAAAGAGCTCTCTGGGAACAGAGATTCAATAATGGGTGTCTGAAAGCTGATCTTTTCCGCTTCTGCCCTCCAGTGGTGGGTAGCTGAATCCCTACAACATCACACCTTAAAATAAATACCAAGAGATTAAAAGCTTGAAGTGTGAAGTATTAATAATAAAATGATACCAGTAGATGTAGGCAAATATTTCTGTAATCTTACAGTAGGAAAGGACTTTCTAAGGATGACAAGACTGACTTCAAAGGAATAAGGAAAAATGACTCCAGAGAAAAAAACTTCTACACTATAAAATAAAGCTCATTAACCTGAAAAGCAAACGTCTTTTAAGTATCCGCAATATATACATAAAAGTTAATATTACTACAATATACAAACAGCTATTTTAGAAGACAATAAAAATGAACACTTTAAAGGAAAAGAAATGGGCAATGAATGTGAACAGGCAATTAAATAAACAAAAGAATATAAATGGCTAATAAATATATGGAGCAATGATCAATCATGCTAGCTACTAAACACAAATTTTTTATACATTACCTTATCAAAGATTAAAAAATTGTAACACCCAATATTGTCAAAGGAATAAAAAAATACCTCTCATAAGTAGGAGAGTAAACTAGTATCTTTCTGAAGGGTATGTAGGATATACACTGATTTTAAATGCTGACTTCTGCTAAGATTTGAATGTCACCTCCAAAACTCATGTTGAAATTGAATTGCCATTGTGACAGTAATAACCAGTGAGTCCATAAAAAGTAACTGGGTGATGAAGGCTCTGCCCTCAAATGCCCTTATCTTAGGAGTGAGTTCCTGGTAAAATGAAGTCTGGCCCCATCTTGCCCTTGTTTGCTCTTGTGCTCTCTTGCATTCCACCACAGGATGATAGAGCAAGAAGGCCCTCACCAGATGCAGCCCCTCAATCTTAGACTTACACCAGCCTCCAGAACCGAGAGCTAATAATAGAAGTTTATAAACTTCTATTATTAATAAATTACCCAGTCTGTGATCTTCTGTGATAGCAACACAAAAATGGACTAAGACAACTAACTTCCAACCAAATGGATCTGTATATTCACTTTTGAAATGTACTTCTGTTCCAAACACTTTAATATATGTTAAATATGTATTAACTATACAAAAAAATACTAAAAAAGACCAAGCCACTGAACTCTTTAAATACAAAGCAGTTTGTTAAGCTACAACTGTGAGCCTTCTGGGCTCAAGCAACAGAGATGGCCAAAAGTCTACATCCTGTAGGGATAGTAACAGGCACTAAAAAGGTACCCATGCACGGCTGGGATAGAACCTCAGGCTCACTGCTTGAAACCAATACCTAAGGTGGAGAGGCTCTTCCAACCTATGAAAGGAGCCAGAAAAAGCTACTACTGCATGGGGCTATGGTTTAGATGAAACTATGTGTCCAGTGAGAAGAAATATAGATCTTAGTTTGTGTTTTATTCTTGGAAAGAGAAGCCTCATCCTGATGTTACCAAGAATCAAGGGAATCAAACCTCCAACATAAAGATGTGGTTTTAGATGGAGATGTAGGTGCATGTAAAACCACTGGATAAGAAGAGTGAAAAAGAAAACAAAACAAAGAACTTTCCAGTCAACAGGAGACTGCAAAAGCAAACTCAGAACACACGAAGAAAACTAAACTAAGATGAACAGCCAATAAAATCAACAACTGTAATTCATTCTAGAAGAAAAAATGACAATCTGAAAATAATTTCAAATGTTAAAAGGAAGCCATAATAGCCACTAAGGGGAGAAAAATTAAAAACAGGCAGAAATCAAACCAGAATAGGTGGCTGCTAGAGAGACAGCCTGAATATTTTTTTAAAATTCACTGAGAAATAAAAACTGAAGCCACATAAACTCTAGCTGGACAAAGTCAAAGTGTGAATTAGTAAATTAGAAAATGATACTGAAGATCCACCTAGAACATAATACAGAGACTAAGAAGGAATATTGGAAAACAAATATTCAAAGATATGAAGGCTAAGGAATTTTCTAGAAACAAAGAAAGGTATGAGTCTTCCCATCAACAATGTATTTCAAAGAGGAGCTATAGATAAAACAACATAGTTAAGCATAATTTAGAAATGTGTTTAGAATACCAAGTATGGCAAAACAAACATTAACATGTCACACTTACAATATGCAAGGCTCTGTTCTAAGTGCTTTAAAACTTAATCCTCATTACAACCCTATGACACAGATACAATTTTATCTCCATTTTGAACTTGCCCAAGGTCACACAGTAAGTAGTGGTGAAATAAAGAAATGCAATCTTTTAAAAAACTGCCAGAAAAAAAAAATATTACATACAGAAGCATAACAATTAGGCACAGAGATTCAAGTTTGCCAAGTTTCACAAGACAATGAAATAACATACTGAGGGTGCTGATGGGAGGAACCCTATCAACCAAGAATTCTCTATCCAGCTGAAAAACAAAGTAATGCATAAAACATACTTTCACACAAAAACTAAGGACATTTACAAGCCAACCTTACTAAAAGGATTACTAAAGGATGTACTTCAGCAAGAAGAAAAGTGGACTCAGAGAAGATGCAAGGAACAATAAGTACAGAAACTGGTAAAAATACTGGCTAATTAAACAATTTATTGAGTATAAAAAGGAAAATGAAACTATTTTATGCTAAAAAAAAGAAGTGGAAATTAAATTGTAAGCAATTATACAGAGGATGGAGAAATGTTCAGTTTAATCAAATGTTAGCTCATAAAAAAAAAAATCATCAAATACAGAAACAAACTACCATAAGTACAACTTCCTAAGGACTTCTGATATTGGAATTAGCAAATATTTAAGATATTATATCTATGGACAAAATGCCCGACAAGGTATTTTTTGAAAACTAATGAAAAATAAGAAACTATAAAAAAATTATCATGCAGACCGAGAAAGAAATATTACTTTCAGAAATAAAAACAATTGGCTGGGAGAGGGTGAGTGTTGAAAAAGTACCTATTGGGTACAACCTTCACTATCTGGGTGATGGGTACACTAGAAGCCCAACCTCCACCATTATACATGCAATATCCATGTAACAAGCATATGCACACCTCTGAATCTAAAAAAATAAATTTTAAAATGTTGATATTAAAAACTCAAAAGGGTGAGTTACATAGATTAGATACAAATGAAGTAAACTAGGCAACTGAGTTGAAGAAATAAAATAATAAAGTTGCCATTTGGGAAGTGCTCAATAAAAAAGTAAATACATAAAAGTATGTTCACTTCAAAAAACCTACAAAGGCCAAGGGAAAGGGGAAGACAAAAAAGAAAATCAAATTCTCCAACAACAGTAACATAAATGGTCCATAAAAGTAGGCTCTAAGAATTTAAGACCTGCACATTAGGGTGCCCTTGAAGCCCAGGAACTTTTTTTTTTTTTCTGAGATGGAGTCTCCCTCTGTCACCTAGGCTGGGGTGGAATGGCACCATCTTGGCTTACTGCAACCTCCACCTCCCAGGTTCAAGCAATTCTCCTGCCTCGGCCTCCTGAGTAGCTGGGACTACAGGTGTGCACCACCACATTCGGCTAATTTTTAAGATTTTTATTAGAGATCGGGTTTCGCCATGTTGGCCAGGCTGGTCTTGAACTCCTGATCTGCCGACCTAAGCCTCCCTGGGATTACAGGCATGAGTCACCACACCCAGCCAAAACCCAGGAACTATTAACTTATCTCTCTATTCATGTCAATTCCCTGCAACATGGCTAAGGTAGTAGTAAAGTTTAACATTTATTGCACTACGAGAATCAGAAAACATCAGCAAAATGATAGTGCCTAAGTAGCAGAGCTTACTTTTGTTTAACAAATACTCTTCTGTTATCTCATATTTTATATATTTATGATTTATATTTAAATCACAGCAATCTTTACATCCTCACATCTTTAAAGGTAGAAGGGTTTTGTTTTGTTTGTTTGAGGCACAGTGTTGCTCTGTCACCCAGGTTATAGTGCAGTGGCACGATCACAACTCAAAATTATAGCCTGGAGCTCC